CAAGCCGCAGAGAGACTCCACCTCAGCTAAAAGTCGTTAAAAGAAAATGTCAAATTCGCTTTCCGCTGCCACCAATGTAGCGTCCTGAGACACCTCGACCGGTATAAGAAGTCAGTAAGTGCAGCTGGATAGATGTATTTCGAAGACGACAGGGCAAATGGGCCTGATCATGGCCCGAAGGCCAGTCCACGCGTACAAGGGTCAGACAAATCCTAAAGTGGTCACATAAACAAAGTATTACAACTTTGGTAGGGCTTTTGTCTTCGAATGCGTTAGTTGGCTTTCGGACAATGTGAGATTGCCATCCACTCTTCACGTCTTAGAGTACATATTTTCACCTTAATTTATTTCGTCTTCCACCTGGTCGAAACCCCCACGGTGCTACAGTGTGAGGCGGGGGGCCATCTTCAATGTATTGCTTGAGTATTCCGACGAATTGACGCCTATTATCACTTACGGAACCTGGCATAGGCTTGCTTCTTCGATGTAGTCTTCTGTTAATACGAAACGTACACACAGCAGTCTCAGAGAGAGGAAGCCTAAACCGAGGCCAAAAGTTGCAGCGGTCCCACCCTTGTAACCTCTGATCTCTGCCTAAATTGAAAAATATGACGACGATCCCATGTTGGCGTCAATGTTTACCATTTCCTTCCTGCAGCAAGCGATATTTGCCTAATTACCGACTCCTGATTCAACAATTTTTTGCAAATTCTTCAACCTATGAAGCCCGATTTCATTTGTCAGTCACGCAAACAAGCGCAATTTGTTTCATAAATCCGATTAGCATACCGCTAGCCCAGACAGGTAGTTTCCACTGTTCCTCTTGAAAGAGAACTTAGCAATAACGATCAAATGGATAGGGCAAATATGGTCGATGTTGAACGGATTTCGGCGGGACGTAAACTTGACCAGCTAGTGAAATGGGTGGATGAGTCACCACATGATCAAACCTGTCCCGAATCAAGGGGAGTGCGAAGACATCATCTGCACTTTTAAGTCTATGATTGTGTGTGCTGAAAATAAACCAATTTAAACGAACTATTAGCATTCACATCAGCCTACGCACCAGTGAATATTACCCCTTAATTATCTTTGACTTAGCAAGGAATGTAGGGATGCCTAGTTAGTCCGTGGTATACGCCCGCCTTCCATTCACTCACAGACAAGAGGACGCCTTCAAGTTTGAGCAGCTATGATCTATCATCGAGAGCTCCTGTAAAGCGACATTAAGGATTGTAGTCGAGGTCCAAGTTGCACTGGTCATGCACTCCACTGATCCATGCTGTTTTGCAAGTCTGAACATTGTTAGGTACCCATAACTGGTTTCTTCTACCTCATATTTCCTAGACCAAGGGGTCAATCATAAATATGGCACAGAAATCATCGATCATTAAATGGGGTGAAAATTAACCCCATCGTTAAAAATTAAAATTCAATACAAACAGAAAAGCGACATCAAAGGATAAAGACAAATAAGTGAGTGCCACGTATTGTGCGACGGTTAGAACTGAATATATTTAGCCATCTAGATCTTCTTGTGGTCCTAGCAATTTCAAAGGAGGGAACTGCTGTGGCGGAGGTAACCGAGGGAGACGTGGGTCCACCGGCATGGCAAGTGAAGGCGAAGGTAGAGGAATATGATGATAAAAGGCGATATCACAATGATTATAGATTGCCTTAAGCGAAAGAGCCTCAAATATTGAAATTGACGGGCAGTGAGAAATATCCAGAAATGCAAGTTTTCGGCAATGAAGAAGAAGCCGATTGATGCAGGACTGAGTGATAAGAGCATTGCCTATTAAGTCCAGATCAACCAACGAGTCATGCAATGAGTCGGCAATGGCATCGACATCAGCAGGTGTTACGGATCTGTGAAAAAAAAAACGGCCGTTAAAATGAGTCGAGAGAACAGCTCCATTAGGGCAAATGCTGCTGTTACAAACCGAATGGCCGCAAGAGACAGAACACGTATTTTGCAGCAACGAGTTACAAGTTCACGCAGACAGGTGGACGGTTCTGACTCAACGCCTGTACACCAGCCCAAATCGAGTCTGAGGAGGTGAGGACAGTGTTCAGCTATCCTTAGAACTCCAAAGCTGGTTAGGTTGCGACATCGCCACAGGACAAGGGACTCCAGGAGACTTTGGGAACACAAAAATTTAAAATGCAACCAATTGGACTAGGAGAACTTTAGTTTCAACCACAGTACATTCGACTAGTGTATATAAAGAAGCATTTTACTGAAAACAAACGGGTAAAGTACGGAAGGCGACAAAAAGGGACGCCGAGCTATTTAAATCACAGCAATGATAAGTGGGTACCGAATAATAAAAGCTAATAACTGATTTTTGGAACACAAAACGGAAGAAAGCTCACGGATTACTGGCAGTGATGTGCTCAACGATCGTATCAGCGTCCTCAATTGAGACACAGGAGCCAAGGTTTAGATGTCGGAGGTGCTGACATAGATTAGCAAGGTTATGAAGGGCAGCGTCTGCCACCCGAGTCCTGTAGAGACTGAGCCACCGCAGCTTAATCAGCCGACCCAAAGGAATAAAACCTCCACTGGTCACTGATCGACACGACGAAAGGTCCAACTCTGAAAGAGAAGGCATTTAAATGGTCCCACGCTAGCAAAAGCTTCATAAGTTTCACAGGAAGCTAAAGTTAAAACTGATGAGAGAGAATGAACCTCAATCAAACATTTTAGAATTGTATTTTTTTCAAGAAATTGGAGTCTAAATGCACTTAAAAATGGTCAGGCTTTTGAGGACACCATTTCCAGCACGCTTTGTGAAAAGTACAGACTCGTCTAATTAGGGGTAAGGACAACAGATGTTTAAGAGAAATGAATGCTCAATGTAAATAATGGTAACTATCACTTTCAGAATCCGTAAAATCAAAGGGTGAGGACGTAGTTGATAAACGTCTTCAGCACAGGATTGAATGATGCAATTATGGAAGTGTTTGGGTTAAATAAGGACCAAAAAATACCTTGGAGATTACCACAGATATTGATAAGCTGTAGTAGACACTCATCACTGACCATTTGGCAGGAAGAAAGACGAAGGGTAGTCAAATTACGCCCAACGTCGCTCAGAAATTGACAAAATCCATACGTGGATACCTGAGTTAAAGTGAAGTGATTTAAGTAAACCTGCTTGACTTCAGTGTTCGTGCTCGCTCTGAAACTGAGCAATAAGGCCTGTTTATCTTGAAAAGGCACAATAAAGGTCCGTAACCTAACTCGGCGTTTTGAAAGCTTAACATCAAATCCGGCACTCACCGAAATGAACTCGTGGAACAAAAGGAAATAATGAAAATATTTAGCTCTTTGAACCCACAAAGTTCCTTTTAGAGGGTGCATATGAGAGATCAACGCAGTGAATTAGAATTTAGAATCACCAACAATGCCCTTTAGAAGCAAATCCTTAGTGGCCATAAAATTCGAACATAGGTAAACGATGGCTGAAACGGAATTAAAAGGTGAGCTAAAAAGCGGTAATTAATAGGCTTGGAAAGAACACACAAATGTTCGTATGCGAAGAAGCATCAAAACTCACTGCTTGATAATT